CCCAGTGCAGGAGGTAGGGCTGGTGTGGTTGATGCCAGGGAAAGAGGCTGCAGGTCTGGCTGGCTGGGGCTGAGCTCTCCTGGGGGTTTTAGGAGCCATCTCTCCCCTTTCTACATCAGCCCTTACTTGCAGCCCCCATTGCAAGCAGGTCACAGGGACCAAAGGGCTCACCTGCCACCTCTTGACTTGGGAGCATCATTAGTGGTTGACTGGTGCTTTTTGGCTGGGTGCTGAGGTTGGAGTGCAGTAACAGGCTTTACATGGAGATAAGGCTGAGCAGTGGCCTGAGGGGAATTGGACAAATCTCAGTATTCCCTGGATGCTCTCAGCCTGGGGAGAGCCCTCTGCCTCATCCAAGCCTGGGGCAGCATCCTGGCTCCCCATTCACCTCCTGATGGGGTGGCTTTTTCTCTCTGAAGTCTCCAGGTGGCTGTGTCTGTTTTGCCCCAGCCCTCTGGTAGGATGAGCCCTTTGCATCTTTTGTCTTCTGCCTGGTTTCCTGGAGCAGAGAGGGACAGGGTGAGAGAGGCAGGGAAGAGGGATGGCATTGAAAATGCTCCAGCACAAAACTTGCTGTTTTCCACAAGCTGCCAGATCAGCACCTTGCTCCAAAGGAAATAACCAAAGGTTTTCCCTGCTCCTGCACCCCAGAGAGGTGGTGCCAGGTTAGTGCTGGAGATCAGAGGTTTTCCTCTGAAGATGCACAGGTTTTGTCCACTCGAGCTGTGGTGGCATCCTGGGAGCAGGGAAGTGCTCCAGGTCCCAGAGGGATAATGTCACTGTGAACCTTCTGAGCAGCTGCCTGCCCCATTCCCCAGCACAGATGCTGGTCTTGAGAGTCCTGCCTGAAGCCTCTGGACCAGGGAAGCACCTGGGTCAGTCTCTTGTTTCTGCTCCTCTCTGGACCAGGAAGCTGTGGACATCAAGGCTTTCCTTGGGGTTTTTTCTCCCCCTTCCATAAATTCTGTTTTCAGAGCAAGTGCCTGCTCTGTCTTACATCATTTGCAGAGATGAAATCACTCTGTCCCTGCCCAAAGTAAATTGGAGGGAGGATGGTAGAAATCTATTTTTTCTTTTTTTTTTTTTTTTTTTTTTTTTTTTTTTTTTTTTAAGAATTGCCTTAAAAGCAGAGAGGGGAGTACTTTGCTTCCTTGACAAGTTTACAAGGTTTTGGGGACACCTGGAAGTACTTGAATTACGCCAGTTTGGATAGAAAAAGTGACTATTGACTCTGGAGTTGAGTTACTGCTGACAGTTACAAAGTCAAATGACTCTTATTCCTTTCCCACTGTGCCTCCTGTCAAGCTGATCTATTCCAAGAGCAGTTTGAGTTTTCTTTCCCATCAGAAAACTGTCACCAGACGGTCACAGCAGTTACAAGCAGATTTTATTTTTTTTCCTGGCTTTGCCAGGGGTGAGAAAAGAAAGGGAGGAGTGATGCTCTGGGAAGGGCTGGGTACCTGCTGGCAGGGAGATCAGAACAGGTGTCGGTGTTCTGCCTCTTCCTTTTTCTCTTTCTTTCTTTTTTTTTCTTCTTTTTTAATAGTGTGCTCATTGCTTTTCTCTAAGCATTGTCTCCTTTGCCTTCTCCTCACAGTCCCAGCATCTGAGGCTGGGATTCCTTCCAGACCTTTGTCTCGTGGTGACACTCCAGTGTCTGCAGCTGACTGGGTGCAGTCTGTGCTGGTCCCACGAGGTGGTTGGTGGCTGAGGGTTGTGCCCCTGTGCTGCCCAGCTCCATGACTCCTGACAATCTATAGGTTGGGTTAATTACCCATTCCAACCATTTTTCCCCACCAACCCCAGCCTACTCCTGGTGTGTCCACATTGCCATTGCACTGCAGCTGAGCTTTGAGGGGGTGCAGCCTCAGCTGTTGCTTTCTTTTTTTGGGAAAGTTCAGCTGGAGCAATGGATGCAAAGGAGGCAGTGTCCAGGCCTGTGGCTCTGCTCCCAGAGGATGCTGTGCCCACACTCTGTCTCGGTGCCCCTGTGACTGTCACCACCTTTGCAGTGGGGTTTTGCACAAGCTCTGGTGTAAAGCATCACAATTCTCACTGTGTATGTGACGAGTCCTGTAATGTCACCGTGTGGAGTGTCAGCCAGACAGGGCTTTTCAGAAGGGAGTCTGACCTCTGGTCACGTGTGGTTTCTTGGGGTGGAATCCATGTGCTCCATCACGGGGCTGGAGGAGAGCAGTCTGCCACGTGGGGACAAAACACAGGATCAAACGTTTTTTCCAGCCCTCGGGGCTGTGCAGGTAACCTAAAAATACAGCTGGAATGTGGCTGGGCGGTGACATCCTCCCGGAGCTGCAGCTCAGGCCTCGTTATCTGTCCCGTGCACAGAGCCTGGGTGTGGCTGTGAGCCCCAGAGGTGGCCGTGCCAATGTTGGCTCTGGCTGTCGGTGGCTTTGCCTGTCCACATATCCCTTGCTGGGCACTGGGAGGTCGCACCCTTCTGCCTTGCATCAGTCTCACCCAGCCCTGGTGGTACTGTTGGTGTGACATCCTGCTCTGCTGGGGGGCACGAGTCCTGCGTGGTGTTGTGAGTGACTGTCCCCCAAACACCGTCCGAGGGGGTGAGAGAGATAACCCTGTTCCCTTTCCCATTGGATTCGCTTCAAAGGCTCTATTTTAAAATGGAGCTGCTGAGTTTCCAGGCTGAGTGTCCCGTGCACGGCTTGGGCACGTGGGGCTTTCCCATGGGATGTGTGCCTTGCATGTGGAAAGGCAAGTGCATCCTAAGCTTAGGGCAGTGGCTGCATTACAGGCTTGGTCAGGAAAGCTGCTGCAGTTCCCAGATGGATGGTGAGATGTGGTGGGCATCAGGCAGTGTGGTGCTAGGACAGTGCAGCCAGCTGGTCCATGGGCTCTTCTCTGATAAAGGGCGTGAGGTATTCTGTGAAAATCATCTCCTTTCCCTGGTTAGCCACTGGCTCTTCTTTCAGGACAGGTGAAGTCATCCATTTTGTACTCAATCCCAAAAATGCCCACAAAAAGCTCCTTTCCAACACCAAATGGGACATTTCTCTTTTGCTGCTCATGGCAAAGCAGCTCATCCCCATCCCCGGTCCCTGGCTGAGGTGGTGACCTGGCCCTAACCAAAGTTACCTCAGGAGAGGCTGCCTGTGTGCAGGGGAAGGGTGGGGAGAGGGGCCCGGTGCTGGCAGGGCACTGTTTGAGCTCATTGCTGTTTTTAAGGGTGTGCTCTTCCACTTATTCAAGCCAGCCCACTGGCAGGAGGCTGCTGGGAGGGATGGGAGCCATCCTTGTCCCTGGCTCTGCCAGGGTGTGCCAGACCCTGTGGCGAGTGCCTGACTTCTCCCCATGGCAGGACTTGCTCCCCCAGCTTCCCTCACCCATCACAGAGTGACATCCCAGCACTGAGGTATGGGGAGGCTTCATTAATGCCAGTGAAACACCCACTGCTTTTTGCTCCTCCGGGATTACCCGTGACCTGTAAAGGATTGGATAATTAATGGCAAAAGGTGAGCGTTTTTTAAGGCTGGGCAATTCCTACTGTGCTGGCAAACTTTTGAAAGAGCTAGCAATGGTGAGACTTGAAAGGATGCTTGGGCTTGTTTTCGTTTCGTTTGTTTGTTTGTTTGTTTTTTAAGATGCTTTTGAGATGTCGGGAAGCTCTGCTCTACACCACCTCTAGTCCTCGGGCGCTGAAACCCAGCAGGACTAATTCAAAGGAAATTGTCTTTCCCATCCCACCTGCTGGGTTAGGGACTTTCTGCTCCAAAGCAGCTCTGACTCTGTGGGTGTCTGTGAAGATCCCTGGAGTGTCTATGTCTGGGAAAGGGGGAAATAGCTGCTAAGAGGGTTTGTGATGGGAGGACAACACAGCATCGCTCTCCCCGGTAGTGCCAGGGATGGGTGCTGGTGGCTCTCAGTGCCATCTGCAACAGCAGCTCCTGCGTCAGCATCCTTTATGTGCTGATGATCTGTGCCTGAAACTATACCCTGGGAGTGGAAATGAGCCTGAGAAAATACCTTCCGCAGTCCTTCTGGGGCTTATATAAACACTATTTAAAATTAGAGCCACTCATTATGTTGGTATGTGCATTTACCTTGACCTCTGACTTTTCAGCTTGCAAATGTGCATGGCCCAGCACAGCCTGGAGTTGGGAGAGAGCTCAGGAGCAAAGCACCAGCAGATTTTCTATAATTAGTGCAAGGTAAAGAAGCTGGTACAGTATCTTCCCCTCCAGGCTGTCAGGGAAATCGAAAACAAAACTGCAGCCTGTCAAAGCTGAGCCTGGCTTTGATCAGGAATGACAGCTCTGGCTTCTGCTGGGCTGGTTCTAAGGAAAAGGGGAAGAGCAGCGACACTTTGCCACAGCTTTTCTTGCACGTGTTTGCAGAGAAAGGAATGCTTTTATTCCCCCACTCTCCCCTGCTATTTCCCACCCAAATCCATGCAGCGGTTTATATTTTGCCACCAGAGATGCCGTCTCGGTTGTCACCCTGGAATAGCTGCTAAGCCCCGTGCCGGTATTGTCATGGAACAATATTTCTACTATTTGTTGTGGTAATAGTTGTTAGTGGCAGAGCAATTAACGTGTCACCTGCAGCACAACGAAATGTGACCTCTTTCCATCCCGGCACCCCCTCTGGTGCCCAAGCCAGCGAGCGTGGGCTCTGCTCTGCTCTGCTCTGCTGGCTGGTGCCAGGGCTGTCCCGGGGCAAGGGTCGCTCTGGTGGGATGCCTGGGCCTGCAGGCTGGGTTTGAGTGACTCAGTTTGTCAGAAGAAAACGTGTCCCACCGGGATGCACTGTGGCAACCCAGCGCTTCAGTGGCTCCCGGAGCTGGAGCTGGCTCCCCACCAGTTTCCTGTTGACGTCACCTGCTATTTCACTGCTGCAGTTTTTACAACTGTTGAGCTTTCAAGGGTAATCGGAGCCGAGTCCGGCCAACCTCGGCAGCTGCCGATGAGGGAACGCGGCTCTACCTTCCCTGGCTCCCCCCAATTGCTTCCACTGCTGCTCCCAGCCTTGGGGACCGCCGGGAGCTGGGGACAGCGGGCAAGGGGAGCTGCGTGAAGCCAGCGAGTGCTTGGGGCCATGCATTCCCACTGAAAAGAATCATCAGTGCTTGCAAGAAGTGCTGTGTGCTGGATCCTGCGGGGAATTTTTTCCCCTCCCTCCGCCAGTCCGCCCCCATCCCTCTCTTCTGCCAGGCGTGCCAGCGCTGCTCTTCATTTCTGGGAAACCATGGACAAGAAGCAAGGTAGATGTTGCAATTTCCAAAACACGTGGTGGGGGAGAGCAGAGGGCTGGTTTTGGTGCTAAAAGAGGCTGTGTAACTTTTTGGGGTCAATCCATGCGGTTTTGTTGCTTTCTCCTTGCTTGGGCGGGGGGCCGGAGTTTGCAGCTGGGGATCTATTTTTAAAGCACTGGAAGCTTGCATGTTTTGTGTGGGATTAAAACTCTGGTGTCTTAATTGTAGAAAAAAAGTATAAAATAAATACAAATCTAGCATGTCTGAAGGAAAATATGCAGAGGGTGAAGCTGGCTCCTGGCTCCGGTTTGAGCTGCATTCCTGGGACGCAGGGTTTTCCAGAGGCTCTTGCATGCTTGTCCCGTACTAAAAAGCCTGTTGCATGGGAAAAGTGGGTGCCCATGACCCCGGCAGTCAGGAGCTCTGATTCAGCACAGGCTGACAGGTTGTTTTAGGGCTGCAAGGGGCTTTTTCTGCAGCGTGATTTTTTCCTTCTCCTTGCTGGCAGTTTTTGCAGAAGTGAGGAGCGCGGGGCGGCGATGACCCGCCTGAGCCCCTCTGCAGCGGGACCTCGGCGGGCTGATGAGTGATGGCTTTCAGCAGGTTGAGAGCCCTTTTTCCACTTCCACAGGCAGCTTTTTCCACTCTCAACAGTGGAAAATAGCACAAAGTGTGCCTGTGAGGAGCTGGCTCTCATGACCAAGCACCCAAATTCCCCTCTCTGCTTTGCACCCTGCCTCAAATGTCTTTATTCTTTTTTTTTTTTTTCTCTTGATGCTTTTTGGTTCCAGCTCTTTCTTTGCAGCAGGGCAGGGATCCACCCTCCAGCCTTCTGCCTTATCCATGGCATTTGACTCTCCTCCTCGGATCGAGGAGAACCGGGATGCATCCCAAACATTTCCCCCAGCACTAACAAAGCGGTGCAGCTCTCAGAGCAGCCTCCGACTTCACCTGGGGCTGCAACCAGAGCCCCGGGGAGGCAGCAAAGAGGTTTAATTTCAAAGGTCGACTCAGGCAAATAGTTTTATTTGCAGTTCTTTAGATTGTCCTGCTCCTTTCTCTCCGCCCACGCCAGCGGAGTGGGAAGGATAAACCTCCCGGGGAGAGGTGCAACTTAATAGGGCTGAAGTTGGTGGTGGCAAAGATGAGGATTCCGGTGTAGAATTAAGCAGTTCCAGGAAGTGTCTGTGGGGGTTCTTGACTGGTGGAGGTTATAGCATGAGAAAAAAAATTGGTAGGCTTTTTTTTTTTTTCTCTCTCTTTAGGAGGAAATGGTTCCTTTCTTAGCATAAAGGATGCAGTTAGTGCCTGCAGCATCACGTGGGTTGCAATTTCGTCTGCACCAGGAACTTCTGTCAGCTAATTTTCCTCTGCCCTGAGTGCAGGGTGCTGTGCCGTGTGTGTCCACAGCCAGCAGCCTCTTCCACTGCCCAGAGCAGTGCCCTGCCATCCCATGGGCTCTGGGCTGGCAGCAGAGTCCTGGGGCTTGCAGGGATAACTGTGACATGTCCTCCTGCTGGAGGGATCTTCTGAGAGGAGCCGTGCTCTGTGCTTGCAGACACCCCTCTTGTAAGAACCTTGGGAAACTGGAGTGTTCCCAGGGTTTTCAGGTGTCCTAAGCAGTTGTGCACATTCTAGCAATTCCTCCTGCTCTGACCCTGCTGGGATCCCAAATGTGAGAGAGACAGTGCTGGGCGAGCCTCGCCGGTGGGAAGGAGCTGACAGCAGCTGCCTGCGGGGGCTAAAAGCAAATGCTGCCCTGGGACTGAAGAGCTTGAATTGCAGGGTCATGTCATGCCCATCCCGCTGCCTTTCTGCTTCTCCTTTTTTTCCTTTTTATCCTTTTTTTTTTTTCCTTCCCTCCACTCTCGTTCACCCAAACAGGGCATGGGCTTTCCCTGAGGGGGCTGTAGAGGCACTAGTGCTGCAAGCAGTGGAAGAAGCTTCAGCAAGAAGGAGTTCAGGCCAGGCTGCAGGGGCTGGAAATCTCATGACAAATTTTGGGAGAGCCGTAACAGGCAAATCCAATCTCTGCCTCAGCTCCCTGGCTGCAGGGCAGCATCCAGGGTGACTTTATTCCTGCAGGCATGGGCTGAGCTGGGTTTTCCGCCAACGTAGGTGGCCCTGGCAGAGCCTGGGAGTGGTGGTGGAATACCTCCAGTTTAATCAGTGGTTTTTCAGGTTGGAGCTAGGGAGTACTTTTTGGGGCTAGGCTGGATGGGGTGGGAAGGAGGTGGTCACTGATGCCAGTGGTACAGTAATGGGAAGGCAAGGATAGTAGTTTGGGGGCACAGGGAAACGGGCTGATGTGCAGGGCCCCTGTTGGAGGAGAGTTCATGGCAATGCACAGAGGCACTGAATGACTCTCCTGTACAGAGCAGGGGGTTTGGGACAGGGATTCTCCATGCCCCTTGCTGCCCCTCTAACCCATGTTGCACATCGTCCTGCCTGCGAGCTTGGGCTCCAGCAAACAGTGCTCCCAGCTCCCTCCTCCTGCAGACGGGGCTGAGGAAGGGCTGACTGAGGAAGGGCTGACGCCTGCAGGCCGCCTGGCTCCAGGAGCCCCTGGACCCTGGTCCTGCCCCGTGAGTCACCCGCGGCCGCGATGCCAGGGGAGCCGGCGGCACAGAAGGCGCTTTGTGCAGGGTTACTATGGCAATTGGGGAGAGGGAGAGCAAACAGATGGAGCAAAATCCCAGCCGGGAGGGGGGGTATTTCGGGGCTTCGTGTGGAGGTCTGGCTGGTAACTGCTGGGGGGCTGCGTGTGAAGCAGGAACCAGTCTGAGTTTTGGAGCAGGTCATGGGGGAGGAGCGCTCAGTGCAAGGGTCCCGCTCAGCACCGAGCTAAATGCATCCCTTGGGATGGAATGTGTGCCCACAGTGAGCTCCCCAACTTGCCTCGGTGCAGAAGGAGTCTGGGGACCCCAGTTCTTAGGGTCCGTGCATGGCCTCCCACGGTGAGTAGTGAGAGGCTGGCTGTGGGAAGGGGAGGCATTTCCAAACCCACAGACAACACTTGTCCTTTGGCTCCGTTTTGCGTTTGCTCCCGTCGTTGCTCAGCTGGGTGTTTTGCAAAGTGCCATCAGTGGGTGTGTGGGGCTGTTCATAGTGCCCCCTCCAGCCCTGCTGGGTGGGCGATGGGCAGGGGACACTTTGCAGGCTCACAAATTAGAAGCTGTGATTGTCGTGGCATGGTTGGGTTTCCAGAGGTGGTTTCCATCCAAGAGGGGTCGGTTTGGGGTGGAGTGACTTGCTGGCTGCTTTCATGGAGCTGGAAGTTCACATCACTCACAGGAATCGTGCTGGTCCCAGGCCTTACAGGCTGACTCTGATGAAGGAAAAATGGCAGATAAAATGTGGGTATAGACAGATCCATGCTGATTCCCTCAGCAGGGAGGGATGCTGCTGGTCCTGCAGTTGGGACCTTTGCAGTATGTTGCAGACCAGCTCTGATCTGCAGACTCAGTGAGGTTTGCATCTGGGGAAGGACAGGACTGGAAAAGTGAGCTCCAGGCACCTGTTTTATCTTGGAGATGGCAGGGGACAGGGATGGGGGCTGTCAGTGCTGGGAACATGTTGGACATGTGTTGTCCTCCTGTCTTGCTGCAGCTGCAGGAGCTCTCACGTGGTGCTATGTCTCCTGCTGAAATTCCAGCTCCTTGCCTCTCCCCTCCTTTGCCTGGCAGCCTTTGGAGTGCTGGACTTTGTCCATATGCCTGCTCCTGGGAGCCAGGCAGGTAGGAGCTGTCTTGAAGGGCTATCCAAGGCCACTCTGAGCCATCTGCTCCCATCCTAGTGCCTGGAGCACACCTTGATATTCCTGCTTTTTAATGCATATTCCAGGTCTGTGCAGCCACAAGCACCTTCAGCTGCAAAGTGCAGCTGCCCCTTTGTCTTGCCTGGGAGGATCAAGACCTTGATGCTCTCAGCTGCAGCACTTCAGCCCCTTGGGGTCTGGTTATTTTCTCAATGTGCAGGGGTAGAATGCAAGTGTCTGGCCTGTCTTGGCCCTGGCTGAGCCTTGTTTCCCTCTGCAGCAGTGGATGTTATCTCAGCAGTGTTGGGAGTTGAGAGGAGTGGGAAGAGAGAATCTTCTTGCCAGTCACTCCTGGTGCCTTGTCTGGAGGGTCTCGGCCTCTGCAAGCCTGGGTTTGTGGTGGGTCCACTACTGGCTGACAGTCAGTTCCTGTCTGTTTTTAGCCTGTTTTCCCTTAGTCTGTGTAGGGTGTCCCCACTCCTTCTGGGACTAACCCCTTGGTTTTGCTGAAGGTCTGGTGGTCATTGCCTTCCATGCCTGATCCCACCCGGGTTCTTTCCAGGAGGGCCTGGCTGGGGGTTGGGGGACAAGGAACCTCTGGACAGGGAGCATTTTCGGGAACCTTGCACATCCCTAATGGCATGGGGACCTCTTGTGGCTGGAGAAACGGGGATGGGGCCAGGTTTGGCTGGGCTCCTGAAGCCCAGCTGCCTCCCTCTCCTGGGGCCCTGCATGGGCCATGAGGGATATGCGGCTGCTGCCCCGCTGGGCTGGAGTGTGAAGGCTGAACTGGTGTCTCCTTTCTCTCTTTCAGGTTCCAAAGGATCCTTGGAGCCACACAAACCAGGTAAGTGCCTGGCAGAAATCACAGCTTTAACCTGGAAAAAGGTTTAAATCTCCAAAGAGAGGGCCATGAAGGGTAAAGAGCACTTTTGGGATACAGTGCTTGGCTGCAAGACCTGGAAAATGGTCTCTGTCAGTGCACCCCTGGATATTTGTGCAGGCAAATCCTTGACAGTGACATTGAGACCCACTTGTGCTTCTGGCTCTTGCCTGAAATTTTGGGCAAAGGGTCATGAGCACTGTGATCTTGTCACTTTGCTCACTGTGGTGAGGGGGTCCAAACCCTGCATTCCCTGCCTGGTGGCTGTAGGGAGCAGGATGCTCGAAGGGGAAAAAAAGCAAAGATCCAGTTGCTCATTTGTGTATCTTCTCTTCCAGTGAAAGGCAGGAAGAAACCAGATCTGAGGATAACATGTGTCCCCATCAAACAGCCCGTTGCCAACACAACGTAAGTGTCTCTGCTGCCTAAAGATGTTCTCCAGAGCTGGATTTGGCACTTTCTCAAGAGGAATGGCCTGTGAAGATTTCACAAAACCAGCACAGTTATTCTTTTCTCTTAAGCTCTGGCTCGTGAGTGATGAGAAGGAATTGCACACCTATGCACACATGTGTGCAGGCACATGCACAACTCGTGTCTCTCTGGGAGGTGCCTGTTTTGATTTGAAATGGTTGAAAGGCTTGGAGACAGCAGGGAAGCTCTCCTTAATCTTTCTGCCATGGCTGTGCCAATGCCAAAGGGCAGAGGTGTGGTGGAGAGAGCGAATCTGCCCAAGGGAAGAAGAGGGGAAGGTTTTTAGCGCAGGGGAAGAGAAGAGGTGGTGACAGCTGGACCATGGCACGAGTAGGGGGGCGAGGATTGGGGAATGCTTTGCATGGCATGAGTATCGGGGTTAGTTTGGGTTGTTTGCAGCTCCTTGCCCTGGCGTGAGGAGGACACAGACATCTTACACGGTTGTGCTGCTTGGTGCTGGTGCCCAGCAGTATCTCAGGGCACTGGAATTTCTCCCTGCCCTGTTTGCTTCGTGCTGCTGATGCTTGTTGTGCCATGGGGGAGAGCCCAGGGCAGCAGCGCTTGGTTTGACAAAGAGCAGACAGCTAAAATTCCTCCTCCATGGTGCTCTTCCAAAACACTTCAGGCTGTGTCTCCACTGCTGAGCCTTGTTTGTTCCTGTTCTAGAGAACTCTCCCAGCTCCAGGAGAGCAGTGAAATCCCAGAAAGGGAAATATCGCTGCTGAAAACCCCAGGTAGAGAGGGCAGATCAGCTGGAGGGGGAGGCAGGGGAACTCCCCCTTTAATTAAGGCTGTGCAGCCTCGCATGTAACAGCCACCTCCTTCCCCCACGGGCACATCTGTCTCCGCTCCTGCCAGTGATTGAATTTCCCCTGGAGAAGGCCTCACGTTGGAGTCTGCAGGGCGTTTGCATGCCCAGGGGCTGGTGCAAGCTGTCCACGACTCCTTTTCTCTGTGCTTTTCAAGCTGCAGTGCAAATATTTGCGCAGTGCAAGGCTTTTGCTTCAAGCCTGAAGTACTTCCTTGAAGCTGGAGGTTGCTTTGTGCTCTGATGGGAATTGAGAGTTGGGCAATCTCTGCTCTTAGAAGGTCCCAGGGGATGGGGGCAGCAGAGAAGTGAAGCAAGAGGGACAGCACTCCTAGGATGGCTCTAAAAGTACCGTGCTGCCCGCAATGGCAAATGGGCAGCAATGAGGAAAGAAGCCATAAAGGGTGACTTTCGCCTGCCTGGTGTTGTGCAAAGCGTGACACCAAAGTACTGCCTGCCCTGCCTGCCTGGAACAGGCAGCGAGTGCACACAAATGACTCACGGGTGAGGAATTACCTGTTGCTCCCTGGTGTGTGTTTCGGGCTACGTGGCTGTCCTGTTACGACACCTGCCTGTCAAAACATGACAGCCGAGCTGCTCTGCCACAGAAACGGGCGGTCTCGGTTCCTCAGGCTTGTCTCCTGAGCAGGGATGGTTTTGTAGCCTGTTGCTTTGATGTGCCTGTCTCACCTGGCTGACTCCCCGGGGTTCTGGCTGCCTGTGTGCAGTGAGTGCCTCGTGGGTGTGAGCTGAGGTGTTACTGGCACGATTAAAGCCTTTGTGAGCGTTTGGAGGGGGCTGGTTTGAACCCACGACAAGGCACGGGGGAAAGCAGCAGCTGAAAGTGCTCGAAGGAATGTGAAACCTGGCTCTGGCCAAGAGGGTTAGTGAAGCTGGGTTCTCTCCTGACTCTCTCTCTTTTCTTGCAGGCCCCCAAGGAACTTGGACTCCAGGACGTTCATTACCATCGGAGATAAAGTACGTGTCAGTGGGGTTTTCTTTTTTACTTGCTTCCAGTGTTGTTTGCCCTGTGCATAAAAGGCTCTGTGGATCGTGCCTGACACCCTGTCAGGTCAGGTCTTGAGATTCCAGAGCACCCTGTGAGGTGGATGGTGCCCTTCTGGTGCAGCTTTGCAGGGATAAGACATCCCACAGCAGGACCTCTTCTCTGTGGAGTGATGGGGTGTCTGTGTGTATTTAGAGCAGTGACTGCTGGGGAGCTGAATGGGTCACCCTACCTGCAGGATGGCTTGTCCCTGAGCCCGTGCACTTGCTGACTGGTCTCTCTTGCCTGTGGGCAGTGCCATCAGAGGCCAGGTGGGCAGTTTGTCCATAGTGGGAGATCACAGCGGTCCCTTGACAGTCCCACCACCCACTGAATGGGTGGAGAGAAGTTGTGCATGCCTCATCCCTGGAAGTGTCCAAGGCCAGGTTGGACAGGGCTTGGAGCAATGTGGTCTAGTGGAAGATGTCCCTGCCCATGGCAGAGGGGTTGGAACTGGATGACTTTTAAGGTCCCTTCCAATCTAAACCATTCTGTGATGACCCAGCCCATCTGCCCTAAATCAGGGTGGCCTCACCATGCCCACAGACTGCCCCAAACAAAGTTCCTGTGTCCCACATACCCACAGGTCTGTGCTTCTCCCTGAGGCCCAGGAGAAGCTGGGCACAAAGCTTCTCTCCATCTCTCCAAAGCCTTTCCTAGTGACCTAATGAAAAACACTGCTAGAAATAGCCACTGTCTCTCTTTTATTTCATTCTCTTGTTATGGGCTCTCCTGGGGCTGCAGAAGCTGTTTGCAAGTGAGCTAAAAATACTCTGCATGGGATCAGCCCTACATCCAGTCCCTTCCAGGCTGGGAGATGGCTTGGCTGGTGGGATCTGGGTCCCTTGGCCCCAGTGCAAGGTTTTAGGGTTAGGGGAGAGGAGGGGAAGCTTTGGCTGCATCCAGGGAATGATTCTGCTGCCCATGCTGTTTTCTGGCCATTGTGTCATGCATATTAATAGCTTGGGGAGAGATGCTCTCTGTGACAGCCTGGACATGGTGTGTGCAAGGGGACAGTGCTGCAGCTTAGGGAAAACTCGCTGGAGTCACTTCCTTGCCTGCTCCAGTGTTTGCAGGAAGGGTCTGGTCCTGATGTTTTGGAGTGACATGGTGGAGAAGAGGACCTGGGCAGAAGGGCAGCTTTAGGCCATGGGGATGGATGATGACCTCGGGTCCATCAGATCTGTGCAGGCCATGCCGTGCATCCCATTGTCCTGGGAGGGAAGCGCTGGCTCCGTTGTTGCAATCCATCACCTCTTGTTTCAGGGCAGGGCAATGCTGGTTCCTGGAGTGTGCTGGGAACCGCCAACTTCTGGGGAAGCCTTAGGGCAAATGCCAGGAAAAGCACAACACAATAACCTGGAACAACTGCAGAACACGTGTCCAGAAAAGCACCACCAGACCCTTCCTGGAGGCCCCCGCAGGCACTGTGAGCCTGCCCTGCTCCTCTGCCAGCTGCCCGGGGCGGGAGGGCAGACATGTCCCCCTTAACCCTGCTCTCCTTGTTTCAGGATCCACTGTCCTGCCCAGGAAAGGGCCGGCACCTTCCTGTGCTGGGCAGTGCATAGCTCAGTGCTGAGCTCAGGCACAGCCCTCCCTTGCTCCTGCCTCGCCAGCCACATCTGGCTCGATCGGCAGAGCCGGGACTGGCGGGAAGGTCCCTTGGAGCTGGTGGCTGCTGGCTGTGCTGTGGCCAGTGCCGAGGGGAGTTTGCTGGCCAGGAGCCCGGCAGCCACATGTCCCAGCTTGGCTCCTCAGCACCAGAGGCTGTTTCCTCTCTCCCTGCTCTGGGCGTAGCTCGCAGGCACAGCATCCGGCGCTGTGCCGTGCTTGTTTCCCACCCTCGCTGCCTTTGTGGCTACTGGGGCAATTTGGCATCCTGGTATTATTTTTGTTCCCTGAGACCGGAGGAAAACTGGAGGCTGGATAAAGCCTGGCTAAAAGGAGGCCTGTGACTTATGAGGAGCGATGAACACAGCATCTAAAAATAGCCTGTGTCTCACTCGGTTCGTGCCCTGCCCAGCAGAGCCAGCAATTACAGGGGAACGTGTCTTTAGGGAAACTTGTTTGTGGGTTGTGCAGGAGCTTGCTGGCACCCTGATGTGTTGGGCATTCACTGGGATGAGCACTGGCTGTGGGTTTTTTCCAGTTTTAAGCAAGACTTACTGTAGTTGTGCTTGCCTGAGCTCCATCATTGGTGCTAACTCATGTTTTACCTTGCTTTCTGGTGGTGGGAGAAAGTATCAAAAGCAGGTAAAACCCGTTGAAACTCCCCAATAATGAGGAGTTTAGTCACTGTGTGCAGCATTCCATCTGACAGAGGCTTTGCCCAGGTGTTGTTAGACATACAGGTGTATTTGTGACCAATGATTTTTGGGATGTGTGGACAGGTGAGGAATCCCAGCTGCACACAGGGATTTGGAGCTGTGGTGGAGACTCCTGACTGCTGCCCATGTTGGCCCAGGAGCTGTTAAAATCCTGCAAGTAGTTCAGCAGCCGCAGAAATACCCTTGTGTGGGTAATCCTGAGCAGGCAGAGAGGCACCAAAGGTTGGTGCCCTTTCCAGTGGCAGTGTGCCCTGGCATAAGGGATGAAAGTCCTTGATCTCCAGCTGCAGAGGGGGAATTAAATGAGCCCTGATGAGTATGGGGGTGAGAGGGTTTGGGCTCTGATTCAACAGAGCCAAAAATACACCCATGTTCTCTAAGTGTGGTGCCTCTGGTACATACAGGAGCGGGTGGAGTCCTGTAGGTACCGTTGTTTGGAAATGCTCTGTATGAGTGAGCTGAAAGTGTGGGATCTCTGCTGATGTCCTTGTTAAGTGTGCTCGTACCTGATTTTATTTTTTTTTTCTCTCTCTCTCTCTAAAGAACTTTGAAGTGGAGGCTGATGACCTGGTGGCCATTTCAGAGCTGGGCCGTGGTGCCTATGGCGTGGTGGAGAAAGTGCGGCACGCGCAGAGCGGCACCATCATGGCTGTGAAGGTGAGGACAGCTGCCTTCTGAGGGGATGGAGATCAGGATGTGCAGCTCCAAGGGAGCAGAGAAACTGCTGAGCTTCACTGGTTGTGGCAAAATGGGGACAGGCTTACCGGGGTTTGGCAGCCTCTGGTGTTCCTGGTGTGGTTTGTCTGGTGACAGGTCTGTGCTGATACCAGCTGTGGGGCACTGTGGGGTTGATATCAGGCTTTGAAATCCAGGCTTGGTGCCTGCAGTGCAAGGTTTGGATGTCAGAGTGCCTGTCCTGGCTGCTGGCCTGGTCCTGCATCCGCTGCAGAGCTTGCCAAGGGTTTGGCATTCATTAAGGTTCTGTCTGGCAGAGGGAATCTGGACATCTCCTGGGTGCTACTGGCTGCAAAATAAGCATCAAATGCTTGCCCTGAACTGCAGATCTGTGAGTCAGACTGAGGAATGATGGTGTTATCACACCTACACCAAACCCTTGTTTTCTTATATTTGTCTCAGAGGATTCGAGCCACTGTGAACACTCAGGAGCAGAAGAGGTTACTGATGGACTTGGATATCTCCATGAGGACAGTTGACTGTTTCTACACAGTCACCTTCTACGGAGCCCTCTTCCGTGAGGTACTGAGCTGGTGGATGCCTGGGGGGCACCTGGGGCTGTGATTGTGCTGAAGGCATCAGACTGTGCCAAAACACCTCTGTGCTCTTCAGCCCAGCAGGGCTGTTCGAGGTGCTGCCATGGCTCAATGTCAAAGGATTCCCTTCTTCGGGCAGCGTTGACCTGAGCTCATTCCTCACTTCCATGGCAGATGCCTGAGCATGTTGTCCACAGTCTGGACTGACTTTGGGGCAGACCCTCAAAGGGAGGCCACCACAGGTAGCTTTGGTGGCACCTGGACATCTGTCCCCATTGCTGTCTAGTGCAGAGCCCATGTGCTGATGGTGTGGCCAGCGGCAGCTGCACAGCAGGGACTTTGGTTTGCCCTGTGTGAAAAGGGCAGTGTCCCTTTGTCCATCCATCCCCACCACTCTCTTCAGCTCCCACAGACTTCCAGGGAATTCCCTCTCAGCTGCTTTCTCTCCATCTGCAGGGCGATGTGTGGATCTGCATGGAACTCATGGACACCTCCCTAGATAAATTTTACAAGAAAGTACTGGAGAAGAAGAAAACCATCCCTGAAGACATTTTGGGGAAAATGGCTGTGTCTGTGAGTGCCTCTCGTGTTCTTATGTGGGTTTGTGCATCCCTTGAGCCGGTTGCAGGGCTCTGTTGAGGCCTGTGGTGTGTTTGCAGTGGGAAGCTGGTGCTGTGTGTGACTAATGAATGGTGCTGTGTGTGACTAATGAATGCCTTTTCACTGTTTGTCCCCAGATTGTACGAGCTCTGGAGCACCTGCACAGTAAACTCTCTGTAATCCATAGAGGTAAGTGCTGGATGGGGTTAGTAGGATGTGGCTGGAGATCTAACCTTGAAATAAGCTATGGGAAGATTCCTTTCCAGGAGATAGGTGGTGTGTCCATCTGGGATGCCTAAAGTGGGGTGTGCTGATACTTATTAGGACCGTGGTGGATAGATCTAGATGCCCAAGACTTGTTCCTGAGATGCATCTCTCAAGCCTCTGCTTGCAGGATGTCATTCTCTTCCTCCTTTCCAGATGAAGGGTTGAATGTAATAACTGAATTCCTCACTACATTTTTATAGGCTTCTCTCTCTCTGGGAGTACCGAGGTGCCTTGGAGGCACAAAATCCCCACCTCCTCCTGGCTGGGTAGTTATAGCAAGGTGAGGGCTGAAAGAGACCTTCTAAAATCACAGATGGTAATTATAACACCCAGGTCCTGCTGTTCATCCTGGTATATAGACCCTTGTGTAGCTGTGAACAGATCATGACATGCATGGGACAAACTGTCCTGAGAATTTGGTAGAATGGGGCTTTTAAGGCTGTGCTGGGCACATAAATCATTCCTAAGGAGCTGGGGATTACCTCCTCCATGTTGAATTTCAGTCTTTTTAGAGAAGAGGTTTATTCTTCCTGGAGGACATGGTTATAGTTTACCTGTGAACAACTTTTATTAAATAAAACTGGTGGGGTTTTGCCTCGCTTCCCCTGTGTTAGAGCTGGTCTGATTCCCCTCCTAGGTCAGCAGGGAGTTGTCCATCTTGTCTCAGACTCTGCAGTACCCCTGCAAAGACCCAATTTGCCCTCTTGCATTTTCTCTTAGACGTGAAGCCTTCCAACGTGCTGATCAACAAGGAGGGACACGTGAAAATGTGCGACTTTGGGATCAGTGGCTACTTGGTGGACTCGGTTGCAAAGACCATGGATGCTGGGTGCAAACCTTACATGGCTGTAAGTGCAATCCTGTGCAGCCTTCAGCCTTGACTCGAAGAGGCTGCTGCTTAGAAATCAGTCTTGGTTCACCTCCATCCTGAGATGAAAAGCACTTGAGAGTGCTCTGCTCTCCCTGACTCAGCAGAGCACTCCAAGGATGGGATTACCCTCCCTGTAAGCCCTGCTCTGCATGTTAATCCCTCAGTGGGCTCTTCCTCTGCCACCTTCCATTTGCAGAAGGATAAAAGACTGGCTGGTGGTGGTCGTGGTGGCTGAAAGGGCTGCTCCTTGTTGGATAGAAAATGCTGAGGCTTTCCTTGGCAGGATTGTTTCATTTCATCCTCAAGTCAGTATGAATTTCCCTTTGCCATCTGTGGCATCCATGTGGGTAGTGTGTGCTCCTGGGGCAGGATTGTGCTGCAGGGGTAGTACAAGTCTCACTCTCCTGAGAAGAGGGAGAGTTGATATGAGTTGTGTGGAGCTGGACATGTCTTCCATCAGTGCCACATTTAACCTCAGACCCTGCTTCCGTGGGGATGTGTGCCAGGGAAATCCACCCAACCTGTATTTTGGAGCCAGAGATTTGCTCTGCGGGGTTTGCACTTGGGGAAGATGAGATGGAGTTGTAACATCTTCCATTTTGCTCTTACAGCCAGAAAGAATAAACCCAGAGCTCAACCAGAAGGGCTACAACGTGAAGTCAGATGTCTGGAGCCTTGGGATCACAATGGTAACACCAAGGGCTGGGACCTGCCCCTGCAGCCCTGGGGTTGGGATGGGGTTTGGGCTGGTGGGGCTGTACCCCTGCTGTGAGCAGTGGCAGCTGGGTGGGGACACACCAAACAGGGCTAAATCTGAGTGTGATAGCTCAGGACTCGAGATTAAACACTCAGAGCACTGGGTGGGAGGCTGCCCTGTGCACACAGGGTACCTCACCCCAGGGCAGGTAGCTCAGAGCTGGGGTCTGCTGCCAGTGTTGCCACCACTGCTGTGGCTCTTTCCAAGTCAACTGGCAAACTTGGCAAAATCATCCATCTTCTGTCCTGCTCTACCTTCTTGCTTCTTCCTGATGGATTCTGGGGTGTTATTCCCAAGTGGTTCCCTTGTACCCCTCTGCCTGGTTCCACAAAGTTACTTGTGTACAATGCCAGCTCTGAAAAGCTCCACTTAGCTCTGAGCTGTGTGGATGTGGGGTCAGGCTCCCAGGGGACAATATATGGATGACCGTGGGCTTAGTTGGGCATCCAAAAGTCTACCTTTTAAGGGCTTTGCATTTCCCTGTGTGCTGGCTGGAGAGGTGGTCAGTGGAGCAGGGTTTGCTGTAGCTGGGGCACAGCCTTCCTGCTTCACCCCTCTCCCACATGACCAGAGCCTTGCAGGGGGATCAGGATGAGCTCTGCTGCAGTGAGAGCTGCTGTGTGTGGGGTTTGCAGCAAATCCTGCCGGTGGGGTAGCTCAGAACAGCCAAGAGGAAGGGGAAATACTTTCAGTTCCAAAATCACAGCTGCTCAGAATGGTTTATCCACCTCCTGCAAGAAATGGATCTTGCAGAAGGCAGCTGAGATCCTCTGGCGCCAGAGGACAAAGGAAATCCCAGCTGTTGGCTCGAAGGGATGCTGCCCGAGGAACAGGGCTCTTGCTTTCCAGGAGACTGTCTCTCTCTTTGTGGGTAGATTGTTTTCAGGAATTTTTCCTGTGCCCTCTTAGCCAGGGCCTTTTGTTTTGGGTGCTGCATCCCTGTGCTGCAGAGATCTCTTGGCAAATATTCCCTCTTCCCCAGCCAGTCTTGTCCAGAGTGCCAAAGCCAAGCCCCTCTCCTTGGTGTCCCCTTGCCAGTGCAGAGCTGGGCTGGAAATATAATCAGCTGCAGGAAGCTGTGGGATGGGAGACTGTTAACGATGGAATATCCAAACCTTTCCAAAGCTGGAAGGGAGAGGGGACCTTGCTGAAAGCCAGCCAGGCTGCAGCTGAGTTGGAACCCTGACCTGTTTGATTCCCTCTCATGTCTTCCTTCTGGGTTGGCTTCCTATAGTTTTTGGTTTGTTTTTTTTTTAATATTGTTTCTGAAGGAATTAGATTGATTTCAGACTGGACAGGTTTTGGGCCATTGAGTTGCAGGGCTAGTCCAGGCCTTCACTGGAAGGTGTCTTCTCTCAGTTTTCCAGCAGCAGGAGCTGAGCTCCCCTGACCTGAGCCAGAGGCAGGTGAGGGCATCAGGCTCTTCCCTGCTCTGTCCTTTCAGGTTTGTTATTCCTCCCATCCTGTCTCACCCTACCAGGCAGGTCTGGAGGTTCTGTTTCCCCTTTTGAGATGGGAACTGATCTTGGCATGAAGAGAACTGCCCAAGAGATGTGATGGGCTATTTCCTGCTTGAATGGTTGTGGAGCAGAGGTGACTCGTAGGAAGGACCCAATAATCGAGGTGGTTTTGGCAAAGATCATGATAAATGATGTTCTAACACTTCGTTTTTCTTGGGTTTGTGGATTTTTTGTGTGTTTAGCTCATACAGTACTAGCCTGAGGCCCAGAGGCTGCCTCAGGGCCAGCAAAGCACTTTGGATGCCAAGTGCAGAAAATGTGTGCTGTGATTATCTTTTTAAATAATCCCATTTTACATATCTGTGGTGGCTTCCTGTAAATGCATTAATATGCTGAGCCAACCTCAAAAGGAAGTATTTTTGGCCTCTTGAGTCTTTTTATTTTAAAAAAAAAGAAAAAAGGGAAGAAAAAAGTGGTATGACCCAAATTGAAAATGGTTTGTAAGGAAAGAGGGTTTGCCTTTGACTCTGAGCTGGCTGAGGCAGGTGGGCTGTGCGGGGTTGTGCTTGTCCCGGTGTCTCAGGTTTCCCTGTCTCCATCCTCAGATTGAACTGGCCATTCTCCGCTTCCCGTATGAGTCCTGGGGGACCCCTTTCCAGCAGCTCAAGCAGGTGGTGGAGGAGCCCTCTCCCCAGCTGCCTGCTGACCGCTTCTCCAAGGAGTTCGTGGACTTCACGGCGCAGTGGTGAGTCCCCAGCAGGGACTGGTGGCTTCTCCCAGCCTGGCTGGTGAGGAGCCTTGATCCATAGGGGTTGGAGTGAAGCACGGGGCTGGGTTTGACATCCTTTTGGAACCTCTTTTTCCCCACCTTGCCATACCAGGGCTGGTGCTTGGCATGGCAGGAAGTGCTGCCCAAACTGGTTTTGCTCTCAGCCTGACTCACCGGGGCTGGCTGGAAGGCACAGACGTTTCCCTTCCCCTTTTGCTGTTGCTGCAGCTGAAATTTTGGTGTTTTCTGGCCAAGTGGCAATGAAACCAGAACAAACCCCTGGCAGCCTCTGGGTGAAAGCTGGTTTGTGGTTTTGTGGGAAGCTGTTCCCCTCAGGGTGTCCCCTGCTCCCTGTGTGCTGCTTGGAGGTGCCAGGCAGTGGTGAGCCCCCCCTGTGGTGGTGGGGGGAAACCACCTCTCCTCCCCAGTTGTTCTGGTACATGTGGGGCAGGCTGAAGAGCTGCTTGGCTTGTGCTTTTCATGGCAAAACACTGAGTTGTCCTTTCCCAGTTACCTGCCTGGCTGCTCTGCTGGTGGTTCAAACCTGCTCAGCCAAGGAGGGAGAGGGGATGGGTGCAGCCCACAAGAAACATGTCATGTTGGTTGGGAAGGGGAGATCCCCTGTGACAGACCATGTGCAGCAAAAGAAGAAGATCCTACAGCCTTTCTTTCCCATTGTTTTTTTTCTTCCAGCTTAAGGAAGAACCCAGCTGAGCGAATGAACTATTTAGAACTTATGGTAAGTGTGGAGCTGTTTCTGCTGGTCTTTATTCCAAAGCATTTCGAAAGTCAAATCAATGGTCCAGCAGGTTCTAGGGAAATGGGACAACAGGATGAGTGGGTGATTTTTTCATGCATAGAATGGGATGGGTGTAGCATGTCTAAGGTGGAAGGGTGTGTTGATTTCATGGGTGTTAAGGTCAGGGTTTATTAGGTGTTATCTCCCTCTGTCCTGTCTGTTCTTGGAGAGTTTAGACCTCAAAGTGGGATAGTACAGCTGCCAAGATGGGGCGTCCCGCTGGGGTTGAACCTAGAAATGCCAAAGTTCATCTTTGAGCTGAAGGATGTTGTCCATGGGAACCTGGGGAGGAGGTTGGTGCCCACCCCCAGCACCTCCCCAGCTGTGTGACATCCCCCGGGGTCTGCGCTGGGCTTGTCTGTCCTTGGGCGTCAGCTGATGTTGTCTTTGGTCTCGTTGGCAGGAACACCCATTCTTTACCTTGCATGACACCAAAGAGACTGACATGGCCTCCTTTGTGACAGAGATCCTGGGGGAAGACTCCTAACTCCCAACAGGAGCACAGCCCCCGGCTTCCTGCAGCCCCTCCGTCCCGGCTCCCCCGCAGAAGAGCGAACGAGGACTCGAGTTGATGGTGGTTTGCACACATTGCACCTCCCCAGCCTCCCCAGCATGGGGGCACCTCTGGCCCCATCTGGCCTTGCAATCTCTTTTTCTCTTTGCCTTGTGAAATCCCCCAGGATGAGCCTTTTGAAGCCAACACCTTTCCAGCTAAGCCGTGGGGACAGAAGGCTCAGGAGCTCCCTGCTGATGCCAGCATATCCCTCCCGGGGACAGGACTGTGCCCGTGGTCCCTGAGCAGGCAGAGGATGCCAGAGGGCATCTCCCCTCCCCAGCAGCCTGTGCACAGTGCAGGGGGTTGTGTTTCTTTGCTGCCTGGGGAAGGCAGAGAGAAGCAATGCTGCTGTGCTTGCACCACTCCTGCCTGCCCAAAGTCCCTTCCTTGGAGTCTGGTCTCGCTCGCCTTCCTTTTGTGCCTGGCTCTTTGTTCCCAGGACCTACACAGCCTTTTAAGGGGCTGTGGGACTCCCTGGGTGTGCTGCTTTTCACACCAGAGGCTGTTTTGATGCCTGGCTCTACACCTTAATGACCCTTTGAGGCAGCATCAAGTCAGGCATCCCCCTCCCTCAATTGATTTGCTGCTCCCTTGTGGGGGGAGAAAAAGGGCATTTTTTCATGAGCCCACCTTGGCACACGCTGCAGCCCACGCTGTTCCCACTCCTGCCCACGGGACTTCATCCAGCACTCCCTTCCCTTGTGGGCACAAGGTGATGGAGAGACAGCAGGTCCTTGGTGCTGCCTGTCTCCCTCCAGCCCTTGGCTCGGAGGAGACATCCCTGCCCTGGGCATCACCTTCCACAGCCCTGGCTGCCACCACCTCCCCTGGCTCCTGGAGAAGACGCTGCTCCATCTCCCTTCCAACCTGGAGCTGATGTAAGACCCTCGCACTGTGACACCCACTTGTTTTGGAGGCTGAACTCACACTCCTCGTGTCCCAAACTGCCTCCAACCCCTCCAGCTGCCCAGGTGTCAGTGGGAGCCAAACCCCAGTGACTCGCCCGGGGCTGCCGCCAGTTGTACATTTGATGTCTATATATAATGGACTTTGTAACATGTTTCCTAGTTTTAATCTAACTTGCTATAGATTAAAGCCCTTCTGTGTGGGAGGAGGGAGGAGCAGTTCCTTCTCTCCTGACAAATCCACTGTGAAAACCTGATGTGTTTCCCCACGCTCCCAGCCCGAAGGAGCCACGGGAGCAAGGAGGGATTTCTGGCTTCTACTGTACATGATCACAGATAAATGCACCAGCTGTGGATTTTGGTGGGGTTTTTTTTTAATAATTGAGTTTTTCAGAAGGATTTTTTTTCTTTTCTAATATATATTTGTGTGTGTGTATGTGTGCGCTATATATATATTATATATATTTTTAAATCAATGATGAATGTGTGAATATCTGTGTGGCCAGCAGATTTGGTGGAATGGATAACATTTTTCTGGCTGCATTTGGGCAGGTGGGGAAGGGGTCACTAGAAAACACCCTGTCCTAAGATTTTTTCTTTTTTTCTTTTTTTTTTTTAAGAAAGACATCTATTTTTTAACTGAATCTTTTAAAAACGTTAATCCTGAAATTCAAGCCCTGGAGGTCTGGATTTCAGGGTGCATTTCCAGCGTTCAGGGTCTCCCCTCCAATGAAGGATTATGTCCCCTTAAATTCATTGCTCCCACCTCCTGCAACCCAGGGTTTGAAGTGGCACTGGGGACCCTCTGCCTGGGAACTGGGGTGCTCCACACCATCTATCCCTGCCAGCTGCTCCCAGGAAAGCTGCTTTGGGGCAGATGGTTTTCAGTCCTTCATGTCCCCATGCTGGGGCACCAGGCAGCAGCTCTTTTCCCCCCGTCATCCCTCTGATCCCCTTCCCTGAGTCAACAAACCCTGAGAAAACCAGCCCAGGTGGAGCTGCACAAACCCTGTTCAGCTTTGGTTCAATCCTGACCCCCAGCCCACCTGGATGGAAAATAAGGAAGTGATTGATGTTCATGTCTCCCTCCTCCTCATCCTGCTCTGCAAACCACCCGATGCTCACCTGTACCCGCTCGGTTTGAAGGCTTTGCTGCTGAGATGTACAATTGTATTTTTTTTTTCATAGTTGGTTACTTTGGATTACTTTTTGTTTTGATGTTGAGCTTTTATTTTTTTTCCCCCTTCCTTCCTTGTTTTGACCCCTCTCACCCTTCCTTTATCTTACCCCTTTTTTTGGTGCTTTGGGAAATGGTGGGGGTTTTTGCATGTCTTTTTTTTTTTTTCTCCCCCTGCATTTCTCTTCCTGGAGAAAGTCCTGATTTCTGTATTTTGGGAAAAGGGAGCACCTGCCCTTTCAAACAGGGGGGAGATGCCTCTGGGGTGAGCTTGGGGCCCTGTGGATGAAATGAGGCATTGCCAAAGAGGCAAACATCACCTCTGAGTGCCATCTGCTCTGCTTCATTTGACAGGGATCTAACCTGTCCTAATCCCATATCCCTCTTCACCTCTGCACTTCCCTGTCCTGTGTTGTTCCCTCTGCCCTGGCAGTTCCCTGTGGGGGAATCAGCTTGGCTTTAAGGTGGGTGAGGATTTTTGCTTTCATCAGAAGCCCCACTCCCCTTGTACTTCTGGGAATGGTCTGTACCCCTCAACTCCAGTCCTTGTTTTCAATAAAATTCATCCTCAAGCCTGCTTCTTGGCACCTCTTGTTACTTTTTGAGCATCAGCCTTGGGCTGTTCAGGCTCCTGAGCAGCCTGAGGATGTTGGGGGTGGGAGCTTGGCCGGGGGTCCTGATTTGGGAGTTGTACAAGCTGGGACCCCTAGATCCCAGGATTCCCAGAACAGCCCCCAAGGGATTCAGGGGTGGCAGCCTGGGGAGGGATCCTGCTACCCTTGTACTTTCTCTTCTTGTTGTGGGGTGATGCTGGTCCCAATCTGGGGGTTGTTCAACCCGGGACCCCCCAAAGCCTCATCCCAGGAGTGATACCCCCCCCTGAGCATCCTATTCCGGGAGTGCTGCCAGGGGATACCCGGGGCCCTGCTCCCTCCGCGCCGGGCTGGGAAGGAGGGTGGGAGGGGGCCGGGGAGTGGGTTCCTGAACAGGACAGTGGGGGAGAACTCCAGGGTGGGGGTCTCAGGGCAGCACGCGC